TGGTGGGAATTCATCTGGGCATGTTCGGCATCTAATCGAGTACTATACACTATGCGTGTCCCGGTCAGCAAAGATTACTCACGGGATGAGCCATATGAATGTGGGTAGCAGAGGTATTGTTCAGATGGTAGTGCATGATAGTCGTACGCTCAGGTGTTCGCGACAACAGTGGAATGTTATGCATCATTTGGAGTTGGAAGTGTCCGAGGGGGTGGTTTACGTACCTTATTAAGTATTAAGTCGTGGGCATTCCCAGCGTCGGGTGCCTGGTGTATCACTGTCGAATTGAGAGGCACTCCAAGCCCGCAGCACTTGCTGTTCGCGGGGAACTGTGTGTCAGTCGCCAGCGACAGATGAATGATCAAAATCAATTGGGAGAGTAACGCTCCATCAACGGGCCCGAATGCAGACAGGAGGCTTCGGAAGTCTTGCTGAGTTGTGGGTGGTAAGGTAGGTAGTGAAGGACTGGTTGAAAAAAAAAACGAAAGTTCATCGAGGAAATAGCTGTCGCCGGCCAATCCTCGGTTGGTGAGTGGGTCTGGTCCGCTCGCAAATAGGTGGAGCTATACAGTACAGCAGCGACAGCTGCCCTTGGCACCAGCTTTGTGAGTGCCGATTTTCCTGAGCCATCCCCGACACTTTGCATGTTGATCTAGCAGCGACTGACATCGACCAAGTACGCAACATATCCTTCAGGACTGTCCCAAGTTCCATCTGTTCGGGTGACAAAAAGTTAGAAGGCAAGGTTGAGAAAACGACGTCTGTGTCCAAGGACTTACCCGCACGTCTTTACACAACAATTATCAACCATTTCTCATAGGTCATCAGTCAGTATGACAGACCGTCGCAGGATCAATGGACCTTCGGGTGCCACACACGCTCCAGTATACCAAGACGAATTGGATGCATCAAGGAACTCGTCAAGAGTGAGACCTGCCAATACGATGAGAAATTTATGTTAGTGTTGCCCCACCTGCGAGGAAGTTCTGGTGCTGACCTGTTTTGCAGTCCTCAAAACTGGCATTGCGCCAGCCGCCTCTGGATCTGCCTATGCAGAGATTGAGGCTCCTGCAGGTGTTTCTGATACACATGCGGGCATGAAGCTCATCTGCACAGTTCATGGCCCGAGAGCTCTCCCGAGGTCAGCGCCGTTTTCACCATATCTAGTTCTATCGACACACGTCAAATACGCACCATTCGCCACTCGCCAGCGCAGGGGCTACCTCCGGGATGCCAGTGAGCGCGACCTCAGTGTCCATCTCGAGACTGCACTGCGGGGTGTAGTTATCGGTGAGAGATGGCCCAAGAGCGGTGTGGACGTTACCGTCACCATTTTGGAAGGTGACCAGGAGAGGGGGCTCTCGCAGGCACAGGGTCACGAAGACTGGGATATGATGAATGTTCTTGGTGGCTGTATCACAGTTGCTGCAGCTGCCATTGCGGATGCCGGTATTGACTGTGTTGATATGGTTACTGGCGGCGTCGCAGCCTTGATTCAGAGCAGTGCACGCAGACGCCCCAGAATGGTCCTGATCCGGGATGCTCGGAGCACGACAACCTTCTGGCCGCTTGCTGCGTAGCGTACATGCCATCGCGAGACGAAATCACCAACCTGTGGATCAAGGGTCAACTTCCACCGTCAGACGCGGCAACGCAGACGCAATTGGTCGGAAGAGCTATACAGGCATCAAAGGGGAATTATAAGGTCCTAGTGGATGAGCTGAGTAGCTTCGGCCAAAATCACGTCGAGGCCACTTGAGACTTGCCTTGACATCGCGCTGTTGTCACCCGAGATTTTGCGCTTTTGTGAGAGTCTAAGGCATGGAGGAAGTATAGTGGCCTGACGGTCAGACTATTGAAAGTTGAAGCCCTCGACAGCCCGTGCTTCTCACGCAATTTGGCTGCCAAGGCCAGCTTGACCATAACAGAGAAATTGAAAGGCACTTGCGCTGAGCGCTTGCTGACCGCATGTCTGTCATCGCA